TTCCAAAATCAGTGTCTTTCTAAAATGTTCCTTGTACAGAGTTTCATTTTTGGAAGAGGCAGGTATTAATGCAATGAGTGTGAAAGACAAAAAGACGGAGTCGTACTGGAAATTTAAGACGTTTCACATGTGCTACAGGTGAACCATGTGCCAACACTTCAGTACGGAATGTTCTCTGAAGAGTAATGACATGGAAATTCGTCCAGGAGCAGCTTCTTTTTCAATGAGCGTATTTTAGTGAGCTTTATGACTCTCGGAGGAAACATACGTTTTTCTAACCTTTCACATTTCAGCCATTTGGTTTGGTTTCGCTATTATGGTTATCTTCATAATGTGTTCACACAGGACACTCGCAGTTTTTGTTGTCACATGATGCACGTAAAGATCATGTCCTCTGTGAACATCTCTTACACAGTAGTGTTAATCGTTTTTGTGGCCATTTATTGCGGCTTTATTGGCAACATTTGGTTTTGCTCAATTTGCATCTACTGGTGCTGTTCATGTGTGTCTGACAGTAGCAGGGCACTATGGGTAATGGTGCCACAACTAGGTTTGTGATTAGCCTTCTGTCAAATCAGAGAGAAGTGTGTGTGTGCACAACGTGATAATGTAGACATTTCTACATGAGGAAGTGGTTAGTGTAAAACGACCTTCTGTCTTGGAAGGTTTGTTTTCTTTAAAACCAATATTTTATGAATAGAGTCCCTTATCCCCTACAGAATGGTACATAGACGCTCAGTGGACCAGATTCCCAAGAGCTTCAGCCAGAGAAACCATGAGGATCACCAGGCAACCAAGAAACATCTACAACATTCTACAATATAATCCACAAACCACAGTCCTCAAAATAAGACAGAATCCACAAAATACAGCCTTCGTAGTACAAGAAAAGCCACAAGACACAACCCACAGAGTGGCCGACACTGTTTTAGATAGCACAGTGGAAATCTCTGAGAGTATCGGGCTCCGAACGTGCTGAGAGAGCAGCTCTTAACCAAGCAAACAAACACACCCATCCAGATGCATTTGCCCCCTTCTGCATGACCTTAAAGTGGACCAGAAAACACCCATCTCTTTTTGTGAAAAGCAAACAAACAGAATAAGAGGCGCAGTTCTGGGTAATTTTCTGCCTTTGATGTTTTTCCTACTTCCCTGCATTGGATTATGAAGGAACACAGAAGTAATCCAATGCAAACTCTCAGAATGACCCTTGACCAGACCGCTTGGCCCACCCGTACCCTAGCTGAGCGCACAGGGCAGCAGCTGGAGGAATTTGTTCAGAAAACCAAAAACAGAGCAGCGAACGTACAGGTGGTGGCATGTGCCAAACAAAGACGAAGGAGAACTTCCAGCTGCTGACAGATTGAGGGATGAAGAGTGAAATATCAGAGAAATTACATGAAGAAAAAGCATAACAATTGAGTGAAGAACTTGCAACTTTTACCCAGGTGTCTTCTGACCTTTGTTCTCAGTTGGGGTCCACCGGTCCTTGGCGTCTTCTGTGATTCCTTATTCTCCCAGTGGCTCTCTAAAAGTCCTTAAAGCTGCACACATCTCTTGTATCTCCTCCTCCTCCTCAAAGCTCCTGTGGTATCGGATCCCCAGTGTCCAGGACCCTGCTCAGCCCAGTAGCGAGCTCCTGTCCAAGGGTTCACGAGATCTGGGGCAGTGGCATGGTTCAGCCTTCAGCTGCTTTCTGGAGACTGAGGAACTCTCGGACAGCAACTCTAGTTTTTCACGAAGGTTGGGGGAGGGAGGGGTGGACGGAGGGAATTGGGACCTGATTTTTTTTCCCCTCTCTCTTCCTTTTCTCCTTTTTGGAGGGAAGGGCCTAACCCCTCCTCTGATGTAACGGGTGCTGAAATAGAGACAGAATAACTCGACCCCTTCTAAAATTTCACCTCCCATCAAATCTCTCATTCTTCAGAGGAGGAGGAGGAGGGGAGATCTCTCTGAACACAGGGAGAATAGGCTTGCAGTCTATGTGGAGACGGAGAGGACTGCTTTCGCTTAGAGCCCAGCAGCACGGGACTCCACCGTTCCTTCCTGTGGTCTCGCTAGACGCACATGCTTTCAGCAGTCCTGAGGACGGCACAAGTTGAATAGATAGTGATCTTCCCACGCATGTCTCTAAGATGTTTGTTCAAAATGGAACAAGGAAACTGAGGATCATTTGGACAGGATGTGGAGCATGTGTTTGAACAATCTGCCCAGTGACACCAGAATGTCCTTCCCTTGTTTTCTTGTGTAAATTCACGATTGTTTGTGTGTTTGGCTCTCATCTGATCTCTGGAAAGCTCGAGATCCTTATAGGGATAGTTCACTCATCTGTGACTGACTGACTTCTGTGGAAGTCAAAGGAAAATTTTGAATCCACACAGTGAAAGTCAATGGGGTCCTGTGTTTGTTTGTTTGGACCTCATTGACTTCCATCGTATGGTCAAAAACAGTTGAAATGTTCTTCAAAAATCTTTTTGAAAGAAAGACATATAGGTTTGGAACAAGATAATGGTGAGTAAATGATCACAGTTTGTGTCTTTGGGTGAACTATCCCTTTAAGTACATTAAGGTTTCTTTGTGTTAGTTTTCCATTGCTAAAGGAATAGAGGTCTATGGGGGCGAGCCACTGAGCTGGAATAAATGTTAAAATAGACATGGTTTTGATTGTACAGCCTTAAAATGTAAACATATTACATGTGTTTACAGGAGACTAGTGTGATAAAATCGCTTTCTAACCTTGTCTATGTAACATTATATACAGTCTTTCAACTCATGTTATGAGCATGTAATGACAGTGAACTCTTTTTCATATAATACAAGCGATTTTTCCAGAAAGAGACTGTTTATATAAAATCCACTTGCATGAAAGTAACACATTAAACAGAAGTTCATCCCAGAACAGTAGTTGTATTGAAAAAGGACAATTTATAAGTTTACAGGTTAAATATATGCTCCACATTTCTACTTTCAATGACTCTAGAACACCTTGACTTTCATTGTATTTGCATTATTTTAAACACTATTTTTATTTGTTGTTACAAACTAAGGGACAGTTCGAACTTGTTTTCTATAATAATTGCCCGCAAGGAAGAATTAATTATTCTTTATGTAAACCATTTCATACTGAAATAAATGTTTCCCCCTCAACTGCGTAAATTTTTCCTTTATTTGTACAGTTTTCTCCCAGGTTATTGGTTTGAGCTCTGGTCAGTAGTAGTAGTTTGAGTTTGGCGTCTGTTTTATGTTGAGTTAGTGTGTGTGTGGGGGATCTGCAGAGGTGTTTAAATGGAAGTGTGATGCCTGAATGGCTCGACTTCACCCAATTAAATGAGGTGTTAAGGAAATGGACAGACGCCACCTGTCCAGTAGAGATTTTCTCCCGTTTTGCTTTCCCACAATAATATTTAGCTTGTGCCTGAGCTTTGTCTGACATTCACAAAGCAGCCATCTCTCTTCGAGATCTCTTTCAATTTACACATTGCATTGATGATAAAATTACATACACTACTGTCCAAAAATTTGGGGTCAGTAAGATTTTTGAAAGAAATCAGTACTTTTATTCAGCAAGGATTCATTCAGTTTCTCAGAAGTGACAGAAAAGACATTCACACTGTTACACAAGGTATCGGTTTCACATAAATGCAGTTCTTTCGAACTTTCTATTCATTAAAAAATCTTGGGAAATAATGTATCTGGTTTCCAGAAGAAAAAAAATATTATAATAACAAATAAGAAAACAACACAATTAACAATGATAAGAAATATTCTTTAGTATAGCATATTAGAATGATTTCTGAAGGATCTTGTGACAGAAGACGGGAGTAGCTATGTTGAAAATTCAGCTTTGCGTCACAGGAATAAATTACATTTTAAAATATATTAAAATAGAAAACAGTTTTTTCAAGATTGTAATATATTTTACAATATTACAGTTTTTTTTTTTTTGATCAAATAAATGCAGCCTTGATGAGCAAAAGATTGAGGGGGGAAAAATCTTTCCAACCCCAAACTTTTGAACAGTAGTATACGTATAGTGGGTTGAAATATGTTTTCTTATTATTTAAATATTTATTTAAAATTTTTGGTTAGTCATGATTATAATTGAGGATAATTTAGAGATCTTTGGCTGTCAATCACTTGATTGACTCCACCCACTCTACTTTCAATCGCAACTCTCAGTGTCCACCCACACTACAGCACAGTGTTCTGTGTTACTTATCTAATCATTATGTCATCGTAAGTTATTGAGGGATTCAGTCTGCTTTTATGTCAGTGTTGCTCTGCAGTGTGTCTGCTACGTTGTGTGTGCTGCAGGCTGTCTGACACAGGACTGTAATTCTTATCTTACCCCTGATTTCCTGAGATGCACAGTAATGATCATTTAAACAACGCTTACATTGCTCTCTCTTCCGTTGTCTGTTTTAAATCAGTCTGGATTCTGGGATTGATTTGTCTCTAATTATTTTCTGAATCTTTCATTTATCATGCCGTCATCAACAGGTACTGTTGTTTTTGGTGATCATCACAGATGTGATGCTCTGATGTAATGTCTGTAACGGACCGGAGCTTGTTTGCAGTCCCCAAGCTTATATCCTTAAGAGCATGCTGTCACAAACACGTATCATCAATATTCACACACTATCAGTTATATGCTGCCAAATGTTTCTCCAGAAGCTGCATATATTTCTTCCTAATGTAGATAGTTCCTGCACATAATGTTTCTCACTAATCCAAATATTTACTTGGTATGAAATAAGCGCTCTGTAGACGGGCCAGAAAAAGTCTGCAGACAGACAAGAATAGAACGAGAACAAATGATTTCTGATAGGAAAAGATAAATAAAGAGATATTGAGATAATGAAAATATTTAAAGCTTCAAACAAAATGAAAGAAGATTGTTGTAAAAATAATTAGTCCTAAAAATGGAAAATAAAAGACTTTCAGTTGCCATTTTGCTGTAGATTTTGTGGCCAAAAAATGACTTTCTTGTGTATTTGTAGGTATATATCTGTCTGATCTGACCTACATCGATTCGGCGTATCCCTCCACCGGCAGCATTCTGGAAAACGAACAGCGTTCCAACCTGATGAACAACATTCTGAGAATCATCTCAGACCTGCAGAGATCCGTTGAATATGGTGCGTATCACATTGCGTGTTTGTTTACTTCGGCAAATGAACAGAAGTAACAGTGAATTCATTTCTCCCTCTGCCTCAGATATCCCAGTATTGCCGCATGTCCAGAAGTATCTCAACTCTGTTCGCTACATTGAAGAGTTACAGAAGTTTGTGGAGGACGACAATTATAAGTGAGCAGGAGCTGCGTGTTTATTACATAATACACTACCAGTCAAAAGTTTGGAATAATTACGATTTTTGAATGTTTTTGAAAGAAGTGTCTTATTCTCACCATGACTGAATTTATTTGATGGAAAATGCAGTAAAAACAGTAATGTTATGAACGACACGTGAAATGGTTTCTATTTCCGTGATGTCACGGCTGGAACAACAACATACAAACTATGACAATGATAATCTCAGGTACTTATTATGTGCTTTATTAAATCCCAAAATTGTCTAATGTTAGTTTGAGTATCATTTTGCATGGCATTTATAGCCATAGTGAAAGCAACAACAGATAGTTTACGTCAGATCTCGAAAATAAATTAAAGCACACATGTACGTTAAAACTGCGAACTCAATGCGAACTGTGCTATTTGTCACTGGAATCTTGTCGCTTGTAGTTAGGACGAGGTGTAGTAATATTTCACAGTATTACTGTTTTTACTGTATTTTTAATCAAATAAATGCAGCCTTGGTGAGTATAAGAGACTTCTTTCACAAAAAAAACAAAAACAAATCTTTATTATTCCAAACTTCTGACCAGTAGTGTATGTTATGTTTTTAGTGTAAGTATTTTAGTTTGTAACTGAGACTCATGTTTGTATGTGTATCAGGTTGTCCCTAAAGATCGAGCCACCAGCTACCAGCACACCTCGCACCACTGCCTCTAGAGAGGACCTCACAGGTGAGAAACGCATGCGGCCCACACACACTGAAGCTAACCAGGCGTCGTGCCATACATCTCTTCTTAGTTGTTATCCTAACCAGATGCAGCCATGATGTGACAGCATTTCGTCAGGCGTTTGGATTTTATTTATGTTGCATCATGCTGGGTTTGCTCTGGCCACAGTTAAGTTCCAGTGGTTCAGATTTTCCCTCCCCAAAGCTGAAGACCTTCAATGTCACACGTTCTTGTTAATGATTAGTGTGTTCGCTGTTTTTGTGACACAGGTCCAGACACATCTGCGTCACCGTTATGTGGTCGTCGTGGTAATGTTGCTGAAGGTGCCCTGCCTAAAGTCCCGCCGACGCCACCTTCACCCCGGAACCTCATCACCTACGGACACAGGAAGTGCCACAGCCTCGGCTACAAGTGCGTTTGATTCCTATCCTCCGGTCATTTGTATACATCACCCACTCCTTTGTGTCTGAGTTTATTCTGTCTACTTCAGTACCTTTAGTCATACTTTGTGTTTATAGACAATAGTTGGAATTGGCTCAGTGAAGGTTTTCAGTGAAATAAAAGTCTTAAAGTCCTTCATCATGTTAGTTGTTTACTGAAAATTTGTGGAAACAATTGGCACTTAACACGAATAAGTAAAATATATAAATTACAAAGATATAAATTTCAAAACAAATGGTTAGTGAAATTTGGTGCTCAGAAATATGCATGTGTGTATTTATTTATTTATTTTAAATGCGGTGTTATTTAAATGAGGTTTCATTTACTAGTCAGTGAAACAAGGTGCTTTAAATCTATATATAGAGAGCTCATATTCCTGAGACTGACAATCAATTTTAGTTTATTATTTTGTTTTGTTTTGTTTTACTTAAACAGATAAAAATGTATTTAAAAAATAAGATGTTCATCTTGAAAGTCCCAGTTTTAAGGATTGTTGGAATTTTTTCTTTGCAAATTATTATGAATGATTGATTTTTAAAAAGGAAGTTAATTATTGAAAATAGTTTTACTACAATTTAATTAACATAAATTCAACAGAATTATGTCAAAATTGTGATGTTGTTTATTTGACTATACGAGCTAGGCCTGTATCGATATTGTGGCACGTGCGCTGCAGTGGACCGCGCTTAATTTGAATACAAGCACACCATTTAAAATGGAGTAGAAAAGTGTGAGGTTTCTAAAAAATTATTAATAGAGCATAATATAGGCTATAGCTAGGCTACAACAAGATTTAATCTGGCCGTAGAAGAACACAACTGGGTTGCCTGATATAAAGAGACGTAATCCCCGAAACAGAGCTTCACACTTGCGCAATACGGAAATATCTGCTAAGCGTGCTACTTATCTTTGTCAACCTGGCAACCATGTGCACGAGCTGTCTCTCCACTGTGGATAAACGCACTTGCGTTCTGAAAACACCGGTAAACTTGCAGTTTAGCGATCTCCACTTCAATATTTTATTCTCAGAAAAGTGTAATTCATCAAGTGTTTATTTATGAGAGAGAGAGAGAGGCTGTCTATGTATGAATTACCACCGTTTTGCCGCGTTTCTCTATTAATAGTGAAGCTGTGGCTTTAATTCCTTTAGAAACAACGTTACCAGCTCCTTGTTGAGAAAGATAACGTAGCTCTTGAGCGATTAAGCTATTTTATTTGATCAAATTGTGGGGCAGTGCTAAAAAACTTGTTGCTGAATATCTTTGCGCACATGCGTGCAACGTGATCTGTGTGAGTGACTGAGCGTGTGTGTGCGTTAGATACAGTGAATACAGCGCATTAGTTTAGAACGCTTCTCATTTTTATTTTTTAAATGTAGAGTGTGCGTTAATTTGTGCAATGATAACCTACCAGCAATGTTAAGATGATTTTTTAAAATATATTAATATGAGTACATTACAATATAAATTTATTAGAATGAGTACATTATTGTTTATGGGCTTAAAAACAAGATGCAAACAATCATAATATTGTACCTGGTGGGGAGTGCCCAATGTAAATATGAAACATATGCCATTACCTATATTGTACTGTGGTACAGTTATGGAGGCCCTTCATAATGCAGAGGTCAGCTCAGCTGCCTGCTCTGCCAATAGTTAGAAATGGCTCTATAGTATGCAGTGTTTAATAAACAGCTGTTTTACTAAATTCTGCTGAGGTGAAATTCAGTGCAGTCCTGTATTGTGATACGTATTGTATCGTGGCCTCTGTATCGGGATGCCTATCGTATCGTGACTTTGCTGGTGATACACAGCCCTATTGTTTATTGTTAGTCAAAAAGGTCAAGACCTGAGTTGGAATAGGCCAAAATCATACTTATGTACGATATTATTGGCAAGTGCCATTTATTTTCAGTGTTTTGTCTGACACCTTAACAGCAGCAGTACAATTTGGCATTGACTGAAATTTAGTTCTGTTCCTCACAGTCGATTTTCCGTTCAGGCTACAAATCTGAATGACTTGTTTCTCATGTCTTTCACCTCAATGCTTTGCTAGCTTTGTTTCATTAGTACAATTAATTGAAACACTCTAGCATAAAGCAGAAACTTCCTGAAAAAGATCTGCCTTATACAACCCCAATTCCAGAGAAGTTGGGACGTTTTGTAAAATGCAATAAAATCAAGAATCTGTGATTTGTTCATTCTCTTTAACTTTTATTTAATTGAAAAAAAATACAAATAAAAGATTTCCAAAGTTTTCACTGACCAACGTAAATGTTTTTTGTAAATATGAACAAATTTTGTTTTTAACAGCTGCAACACATTCCAAAAAAGTTGTGACTGAGGCAAAATAAAAGTGAAAAGGTTATAGAATATCCACATTAAATTGTTTTGAAACAGTTCACAGTTAGCAGGTGAATTGGTAATAGGTGAGGGATCATGTTAGGGTATAAAAGGAGCATCTCAGTCTTTGCAAGCAAAGCTGGATCATGGTTCATCACTTTGTGCCAAATTTCATGGGAGAAGTGTCAAACAAATCAAAAATCACATTTCGCAATGCAAAATTGCAAAGAATTTAGGTCTTTCACCAACTACCACACGTAATATTGTGAAAAGATTTAGGGAATCCAGAGAGATCACAGTACATGTAGGGCAAGGCAGGAAACCTCAGGTGAATGTGCTTGACCTTTGAGCCCTCAGATGGCATTGCATAAGAAACCGTCATGCTGCTGTGTTAAATATAGCCACATGGACTCAGGAGTACTTCAGAAAACTGCTGTCACTTAAAACAGTCTGCTGCTGCATCAAGAAATGCAACTTGATTCTCTGTTACACAAGGAGAAAGCTATACATCAATTCTATGCAGCGATGCCGCCGGGTTCTCTGGGCCAGAGC